TTGTTAGTGTGTGCATCTGTGTATCTGTATGTAGTTAGTGTGTGTATCTGTTTATGTGTGTCAGTGTGCAAATCTGTGTATCTGCATGTGTGTCAGTGTTTGTAACTCTGTGTGTGTATCTGCATGTGTATCAGCGTGTGTACCCAGGGACGTGTCTTCCACGAGGCAAACAAGGCATCTGCCTTGGGTGGCACTTTGCAGGGGGTGGCAAAAAAAGCCGCCGCCAAACGCCCAGGCAGATCCCTTGCTTGCCTCGCGTCCTGGGGGCAGGGCCGTCTTTAACGCGGGGCAAACGGGGCAGCTGCCCCGGGCCCTGTCCCTGCTGGGGGACCCGAGGTAACTGCCCTGTTTGCCCTCTGCCCGCAAACTATGGGGGCCCATCGGGTGGCCCATGCATTTAGGCCACCCAGTGGGCCTGTGTCAGCAGGGGCCCGGTCGGGCGCTGTGGCGCTTTAACAGCGCGACCGGGCCCTTGCTTTTCGGCAGCAGTGGGAGGAAGTGAAAGCCGTGCGTCACTTCCTCCCACAGAAACTGGAGCCGCGCGGGAGGAAGGCGGACCAGCTGTTCCGGAGGGGGCCAGGCCGGGAGAGCTTAACTCCCAGCCACCCCAGCCAGCCCACTGGACCCCAGGGAAGCCACCCTCCAGGACAAGGTAAGAAACTGGAGGGTGGTTATCAAAGTCTGTCAGTGTATCTGTATGTCTGGATGTGTGTTTGTCTGTCAGTGTCTGTGTGGTTCAGTATGTCTGTATGTGTGTATGTCTGTCAGTGTGTCAGTATGTCTGTGTGTGAGTCTGTCAGTGTCTGTGGTTCAGTGTGTATGTGTGTTTCAGTATGGCTGTCTGTGTATGTCAAAATGTCTGGATGTGTGTTTGTCAGTGTCTGTGTGGTTCAGTATGTCTGTATGTGTGTATGTTTGTCAGTGTGTCAGTATGTCTGTGTGTGAGTCTGTCAGTGTCTGTGGGTATGTGTGTTTCAGCATGTCTGTCTGTCTGTATGTGTGTTTCAGCATGTCTGTCTGTCTGTCTGTGTGCCAGAATGTCTGTCTGTGTGCCAGAATGTCTGTCTGTGTGCCAGAATGTCTGTCTGTGTGCCAGTATGTCTGTCAGTGTGCCAGTATGTCTGTCAGTATGTCTGTGTGTGAGTCTGTCAGTGTCTGTGGTTCAGTGTGTGTGTTTCAGTATGGCTGTCTGTGTATGTCAAAATGTCTGGATGTGTGTTTGTCAGTGTCTGTGTGGTTCAGTATGTCTGTATGTGTGTATGTCTGTCAGTGTGTCAGTATGTCTGTGTGTGAGTCTATCAGTGTCTGTGGTTCAGTGTGTATGTGTGTTTCAGTATGGCTGTCTGTGTATGTCAAAATGTCTGGATGTGTGTTTGTCTGTCAGTGTCTGTGTGTATGTGTGTTTCAGCATGTCTGTGTGTATGTGTGTTTCAGCATGTCTGTCTGTATGTGTGTATGTGTGTTTCAGCATGTCTGTCTGTATGTGTGTATGTGTGTTTCAGCATGTCTGTCTGTCTGTGTGCCAGAATGTCTGTCTGTGTGCCAGTATGTCTGTCAGTGTGTCAGTATGTCTGTGTGAGTCTGTCAGTGTCTGTCATGCCAAAAGCATGAGTTGGTGTTTGATGTGTGTTTATATATGTTAAGAGTTGTTTTTTTGTAAACCTTGGGATGACATTTATTGTGGTCTTTGATCTTGCACCAGGCCTAGACCATAAAACATCTAGATAGCCATCACCAGAGCTGGACACAAGGAATTTCATAGAGTGGGCAATAGACTGCCAGACCAGCCCCCTCTGATCCCCCCCCAGGGGTCTGCCCACTGAGAAACAACTAGTTTAGCTATATGAGGGTGTTGGACTATCCAGGGAGGTCAGTTATTCATTTTTCTTTTGTCAGTAACTTCTAGGAGACCTATACCATCTAAGACTCCCACAAGAATTTTATATGGGGTAAATATATGTAAGGAATTTCTTGTGTTTTCTCCTATTTTATTTTATGTACTGTTTTGCAATTTGTTATCTGTATGTCATTTATTTCTGTATTTTGTACTCAGCACTGTGAATCCTTTTTGTCAGATTAAATGTTTACTTAATCAGCTTGTGTCTCTGTTCTCTATGAGCTTCACTCTCCAGAGGAAAGCTCAGGTAAACACGTTACCAAAAAGGGTTAACTATATATGTTTTATCAGTAAAAGTAGAACGGTGATACTATAATTCTCCTGTGTGTGGGGTAACCTAAGACGCCCGGGTTTAAAAGTCTTGGTGGTGGCAGTCAAGTGTACTAAGGGAGTTAGTGTAGAAGGGATTGCAGGGGTTAATTGAGTGGTTGCTGGGACTAGCAACAGGTAACCAGGGTTCTGGTGTCATTAACCCTGTCACTTCCACACTCTCCCCACTGTCTCGGCTGGGCCTATAGCCACGCACGTGACAAACTGGCGGCAGCTAGTGGGATATATTTAGAGATTTTTAGTGCTTGCTAGATTTTACCTGTAAAGGGGGTCTTAGCACTAAAATAAATTGCATACTTGTTTTTGTGTAATTTCCAAAGACCAAGCTCAGTGCTGATGTAAAATACATACAAAGTGCAAAACAGTTCTCCCCTCCCATCTTTTGTTTTTCTTTCTCTATCCTATTTGTGAATATGGAGGCCTATCGCAATCAAAAGAGGCCTTGGAATTGTTGTGCCAAGAAAAGAATTTACCAACTTTTGGCAAAAATAAGGCACAACTTATTGCTGACCTTGTGGAAGCTGACAGCCATATTTTCCAGCCAGAGACAGATACTGAAAGGGTTACCGAGCTCCCTACTACTGCAGGAGTGTTGCTTACTGAAATGCCTGGTGGTTGTACCCCTCAAAACATTAAGGACATTTGCTCAACTGATTTATTTCGGCAACTGATGGCTGCAAATCCTCAGGAGGCCCTGCATGTGATGATCCAACAGCAGGCTGCAGAAAGGGAATCTGCAGAAGGGAGGGAACAAAGGAGACATGAGCTGGAACTTGCTAAACTGCAATTTACCCTTCAGTCCTCACTGAACAGCAATGCATCAGAGTCCAGCACACGTAGGCTCCGTAAGGATGATTTTCCTTCCCTCGAAGAAGGGACAGATTTGGATGTATTTTTAAAAGTTTTGAGAAAGTATGCAGGCAGCATCAACTACCCTCAGACCAGTGGGGCAGATATTTAACTCCACAATTGAAAGGGAAAGCCTTGGATGTGTTTGTGTCCCTTCCCCCAGAGACTGATAACAACTATGAGGCAATCAAATCTGCATTGCAAAAAACTTTTAACCTTACTCCTGAGTCTTACAGGAAAAAGTTTAGGAGTATGCAGCAATGCCCATCATCCAGCTGCATTCTATATGTTGCACAATTAGAAACCACGTTCCGGCAATGGGTAACAGGAGTACAAGCTACTACCTATGAAGCCCTTAATGACTTACTGGTCCTAGAGCAGTTCTTGCAGACCCGGAGCCCTAATGTAAGAGAGTGGATTTTGGAAAGAAAGCCAAAAAATGCTAGGGCTGCTGCAGAATTGGCAGATGACTATGCAGACATCCATGCACCCACATCCAGGCGTGGACTTGTGTCAGCTGCTACTTCGACCTGGAGAGAAGCTACAGTTCAATCACCACTTGTAAGATCTGCAGTGAGAACTTCACCGCCGACTGCCAGCGTAGCCGGGGCTATGTCAAGTGAGTCAGATGCCCGCCGTTGTTTTCGATGCAACCAGATTGGTCATCTGAGCAGGACTTGCCCCACTAGGAATATGCCCTCACCAGTCCGTGGAGGGGCACCATCAGTTTTGCTTGTGGGTGGGTCCGTGGGGAAACAAGAGGATAACCTGCAGAGTGTAATTGTGGGTGACCAAGTGACCGTGGGACTGAGAGATTCTGGAGCTTCATTCACCCTGGTGCGCCCTGAAGTGGTGAATACGGAGGACATAATCCCTGGAAGAACCATGTCCATCAAAGGAATTGGGGGTGTATGCCCCGCTGTGCCCTTGGCACGTGTGTACCTTGATTGGGGTGCGGGCAAAGGTTTGCGGGAAGTGGGGATTTCAGAGGATATCCCTGTTAATGTTCTGTTGGGGAATGATTTGGGCAGGATGCTCTGTCACTATGCTCCAGCGGACACTGTTTGTGAGCCAGAAGGGCTGACTGCTCCACCTAAGGTATTGTGTGAAACTTTGGGAGACATTGTGGAGTGTGATTGCTGGGAGGGAGAGCAGGGTGTGGATAAATATCTACCTGTAACTGAACCAGTGATGTCTACCAAATGTGAGATAGGGGTGAGTAGTGATGTGCCTGTATCAAATTACTGTGAGGCTGGGATGTCAGAGAGTAAGGGAGAGGAGGAAGGTGAGAGCCAGGAATGTGTACCACTAGTCGCAGTGGTAACAAGTCAACAGTGGGTCAGGGCTGCAGCAGGACAGCTATGTGAGATTGTGAGAGGAGGACCTGCCCTGGAGAAGAAATTATGTGAGTGTGTGCAAAATTCTGTATCTGATCAAGGGGGGTCAAATGTGTCCTGTGAAAATGTATGGGAAAAGCCTTCCAGCGAGAGGGGCCTGAATGAATATATGTGCCAATATGTGCCTGAAGCCGATGTATGTGATGTGGTGGGTGAAAATGTGAAGGGACAGCAAGGCTATAAGGGAGGGCAGAGGGTGTGTGAGCTTTACTCTGCGCCAGACTTAGCCAGTTTCCAAAGTTCTGTATGTGTGATGACCTGGAGTGAAAGTGAGGGGCACGGACAGACTCAGCCTGTGGGTCCAGGAAGGATGGCTACAGGGAAACATACTGTTGGCGGAACCAGGAACCTTGTCAGTTTATCACAACTCACGCATACACCTAAGCAACTTTCTGATTGTGAACCAAAAGTTCAGAGTCTGATAGTGCAACAAGCCCAGCAGACAGACCGCAAAATAAAAGAGATGATGGGTGTTGATACAGTGCATCTATCCTGGGGGTGTTCTCTGTCTGCTTTTTTGTGTGCTTACCGGGGAGTGCTGCAGAAATCCATTGGTTTTTTCCCTTTACAGCTACTACATGAGCGCAGTGGGTGTGGTTTAAGGGATGTTACCAGAGATCGATGGGAAATTGAAACAGGCAAATCAGGCATGTTTGTTGAGGGTGTAGCTGTGGTATGGACTGATCACAACCTGCTGCAGGTGACAGGTAACAATGATAAACTGCTCCATTGGAGCCCTATCCTCCAACAGTATAATTTCACTGCCCAGCACAAAAAGGGCAGCTTGCATGGGAATGCAGATGGCCTGTCTCAGCAACTAGAGGGTTAATGGTAGACAGATAAATCAGCCTGTGGCTGAATTTTTCTGTCCACCATCTTAAGGGGGAGGTGTCATGCCAAAAGCATGAGTTGGTGTTTGATGTGTGTTTATATATGTTAAGAGTTGTTTTTTTGTAAACCTTGGGATGACATTTATTGTGGTCTTTGATCTTGCACCAGGCCTAGACCATAAAACATCTAGATAGCCATCACCAGAGCTGGACACAAGGAATTTCATAGAGTGGGCAATAGACTGCCAGACCAGCCCCCTCTGATCCCCCCCCAGGGGTCTGCCCACTGAGAAACAACTAGTTTAGCTATATGAGGGTGTTGGACTATCCAGGGAGGTCAGTTATTCATTTTTCTTTTGTCAGTAACTTCTAGGAGACCTATACCATCTAAGACTCCCACAAGAATTTTATATGGGGTAAATATATGTAAGGAATTTCTTGTGTTTTCTCCTATTTTATTTTATGTACTGTTTTGCAATTTGTTATCTGTATGTCATTTATTTCTGTATTTTGTACTCAGCACTGTGAATCCTTTTTGTCAGATTAAATGTTTACTTAATCAGCTTGTGTCTCTGTTCTCTATGAGCTTCACTCTCCAGAGGAAAGCTCAGGTAAACACGTTACCAAAAAAGGGTTAACTATATATGTTTTATCAGTAAAAGTAGAACGGTGATACTATAATTCTCCTGTGTGTGGGGTAACCTAAGACGCCCGGGTTTAAAAGTCTTGGTGGTGGCAGTCAAGTGTACTAAGGGAGTTAGTGTAGAAGGGATTGCAGGGGTTAATTGAGTGGTTGCTGGGACTAGCAACAGGTAACCAGGGGTCTGGTGTCATTAACCCTGTCACTTCCACACTCTCCCCACTGTCTCGGCTGGGCCTATAGCCCACGCACGTGACAGTGTCTGTGTGTTTCAGTATGGCTGTCTGTGAGTTTCAAAATGTCTGTATGTGTGTATATCTGTCTGTGTCTGTGTGTTTCAGTCTGTCTGTGTGTGTGTGCCAGAATGTGTGTATGTCTGTCAGTATGTCTATGTGTGAGTCTGTCAGTGTGGTTCTGTATGTCTGTGTTTGTCAATATGTCTGTCAATGTCTGTGTGTATGTGTGTTTCAGTATGTCCGTCTGTCTGTGTGTATATGTGCCAGTACGTCTGTCAGTGTATCTGTATGTCTGTGTGTGTGAGAGTCCATCAGTGTCTGTGTGGTTCAGTATGTCTTTGTGTATGTGTGTTTCAGTATGGTTTTCTGTGTGTGAGTCTGTGTCAGTACGTCTGTCAGAATGTGTCTCTGTATCTGTATGTTGTCCATTTGTATTTGTGTGTGTATCTGTATGTGTCAGTGTTTGTATCTGTATATCTGCATGTGTGTATCTGTGTGTCTGTCTGTCAGTGTGTGTGTCGGTGTATCTATAAGTAGTCAGTGTGTGTACCTTTGTATCTGCATGTATGTCAGTGTTTGTATCTGTGTGTGTGTCAGTGTATCTATATGTAGTCTGTGTGTATCTGTATGTTCTTGTGTGTTTCTATATGTGGTCAGTGTGTATCTGCATGTGTGTCAGGTAGTGTATTTGTGTGTATCTAGACGTAGTCAGGGGGCCCAAGTAAATGCTCGCCCAGGGTCCAATCTAAACTAAATACGGCCCTGCCTGGTGGGCTCAAGAGCTGGCCGGATGGACACTTTTGAGGCCCCAGGGTGGCGGGCTTCGGGCAGCGAGGGAAAATACTTTTCTGAGCACTCAGTTCCCTCCACGCTGCTTAATGAAGCCGGGAGCTGGAATATGACATTAGACCAGCTCCCGGCATCACTAAGCGCCGCCTACTCAGCCTGTGCGCCCCCTGCCTGCCCGACCAGCAGCCACACTGGACTACAGGTAAGCAATCCACTCCAGCTCTCCCATGGAGGCTGAGTGGATTTAAAATAAAATAAAAATAATAATTGGATCTTGGAAGAGTCTCTACATTACCCTTCACCTCTGCTTGGTCACTTAGTATGTCTAGAAATATAGCTATATATTATGCAAATTCTACAGGGAGTGTCAGGAGGGGTCAGTAATCTTGAAGGGACTAAGAGCAAATCTTCTTCTGCTATCCATGTCTAAATATGCTATACCCAGTCACACGTAGCTGTAAAACTGCAGTTTCTATGTTATCGAATAAATAAGGTAAAGGTGAAATAGGTCATAAATTAGGATTTTGTTTAAAGATATGCAACTTACTATTGTTTAATAAAAAAAAGCTACAATTCTTTCAATTTCTGGTCATTGTTCGAAGGTCACTGAAATCCCTGCTGTGGGACATGGGCATGCATGAAAATCCGTGAAATCTGTGTTTAACAGACAGGAAATGTCAAAAAAACAGCTATTTTTAAAAGGATAATGCAAAACAATAATGCATCATTAAACTCTGCAAACATCAACTGAAATTAGCATTAATCAGCTGTTTGTGTGTCTGATCATGATTATAAGCCAAAAATCTATAAAGAATACAGAACAAGAAGTAGTTCCCTCCTGAATAACGATTAGGTTGTTCTGAGTCATTGCTGGGTTCATGTTATTGTTGTACTGTTCAAAGGGAGCTTAGGCATAGATGCTGATCCTTTTTACCTTGATGTCATGTGCACTTTGCTTTTGTTTTACCCGAATCACATTTTCCTTTTTATAATACACAGTACATGTTGTTTGCAGCTAAACTCAGCAAACCAGATAATCAAAACACAAGACTCAGAAAAGCTTTTCTTTGAGCAGATCACAATCATATTACAGGAAAAAAAAGGTTTACACATAAACAAATAATAGCAGCTTTAAGTGCATACAGAGTAATGCTTTTTAAGTTAGGATTTCTCTAACACATCATCTAATGAATTATCACACTGAACTACAGTATTTTATACTGTTTTGCTATTCTACAAAGGAAACATAGGCGCCAGTTACCTTTGATTTTTTTTACCCTATTTTAGTAGTCCTTAAACCTATGGAGGATCTAAGGATCAGCTGCCTCCCCATGAATTGTTTACTGTGGCTATAATGTTTTTCACTCCAGTGGAAGTGAACATCCCTTTGAACCTGTAAAGAGCCATATCAAAGTGTTTTCATAATTTATTTTGATCTAGAGGACCAGTCAAAAGTTTCAAACACCGAATTATTCTATTAGACTTGATATTAATTTAATTATAATTGTTAAACTCTGCATAGAAACAAAAAACAACAAAACAATAACTAAAACAAAACAATTAGACACGTAGATTCTATTTAGAACTTCAGTGAAATGTGGAAAATGTTTAACTATAATGAATTTTAAAAAGTTAATTTATTAATTTATTGTTGCAATGGAATACCTTAAAGGGAAACTATAGTGCCAGGAAAACAAAGTTGTTTTCCTGGCACTATAATTCCCTATAGTGTCCCCCTCGCTCAGGGTTAAAAACCCCTTATGTCACTTACATGAGTCCAGCACCGATTTTCCTCTGTGCTAGTTCAGGCTCCGTCTCCGTTCCTCCCCCTCCGACGTCAGCCGGCGAGAGAGACCTAGTGCGCATGCGCGGTAATGGTCGCGCACACCTTAGTATTTTCCCCATAGGAAACATGTATAATGCTTTCTTATGGTGTTTTACATGACACTGGAGGTCTTCATACTGCGTCAGTTAGGTGCCAGCTTCAGTTAGGCAACTAAAATTCATCTAGCGACCCAGAAGTCCCTCTTATGGCTGTCTGGTAGACAGCCACTAGAGGTGGAGTTGACCTTCAAAGGTAAAAACTGCAATAATTATCTTTGCATTGTTAAGGGACCTGGGATACTGCAATAAGCTGAAGTGGTATGGGTGCCTATAGTGTCCCTTTAAAGAAGCTTTACTGGATGCTACACTTAATTATTTACTGACCTTAGATTCTTGCATTTTACAAACCTGTGTCAATGCAAATTCTGTCATCATGACTTTCAACAGATCTAAACAGACAGTATTGCCTCTGGTATGTCTCCCTCTCTCTCATTCCTCTTCTTTTATTATTTCCGTTCTTGACACTTGAGCATTGCTTGCAATGTTTCACCTATATGTAACATTCAACACTATATATTCATTATCTTATGAAAAATTCAGTCTTCAAAGTCTAAATACAAAACCCATAATGTAATTAGTCTAAGATATATTATCATTTAACAAAGGATTCCATGACAAAAAAAGTAAAGGAATGTTAAAATATTCACCTCCTTAACCCCTTTACTACCAGGCTCTATTTGATTGAAATAATATAAGCATAACATTTATTTGAAGCAATGTATGTATTGCTAGCATATAAACATATCAGAGAGTAGCAATCTATGGATTGTTTTGCTGCAAGCGGCTCTTTAAATAGACATTTAAACGCTTATGCAAAGATCGTGGTAATTAGCCGAAGTATCAGTGAATACCTGGGGCTCCTGTCAGTCAGCTGGGATCCATTTAGTGGCCCATGACGGACCAATAAGCTCTGTGCAGCGCTGGAATTCAGAATTAGTGTTATCATTGTGTAAGGGGTATAGCATTAGTGTCTGGGTTGTTATACGGTTAGGGTTAACTATCAAAAATTCATTTTGATCCTAACAATCAGGACTGACATAAGAATCTATTGTTAGTGCTTTTTAATTACATGCATTAGATGTGTAAAAATTATTATAAGCAAAATGTGAAAAAAATAATTTAAAAAAAAAAGCCTTTTCCCTTATTTTTAACATTTTATTCACACATAATGTTGTATTTGGTATGCATATAGGATGCTAAATGAATGTATGTTTTGTCCTTTAAAAATTATATATGGTTGCATTTGAAGAGAAAACTCTTAAATTATGAATGAACAAACGTAGAGCTCAATTGTAAGGTTTTGTGGAACATTGCCTCTATCCTTAGCCACTGAAGGACCACATGATGGTCTATGCCGTCATGCAGTGCATGGCTGTAATGTCCAGTGATGGCATATACTGTCATGAAGTAAAGGTACCAGCAGGGGTTAAATCCCTGTTGGTGCCAAGGACCCCTGGG